GGGTTATTGAAAAGAGTACTCTTTGTTCAGTATTCGTTCTTTTGAAAATTTCAGTATTTTGTTTACTAAAGGTGAAGATTGTTTAATTTCTGGTGAATTATAAGTTATCACGTAAGTGAATACACGGTTTCAAGGTAAACGAATTATTTTGACTTTTTCCGATGCATTTCTACAGGTTCTATTATACACTCCATTTTTGCGATCACTAAATAAGCTTCTGTCAATTATGTCTTGATATCAGTGACTAGTTTTCATATTTTGTTTAAATTATCGTCTAAACAGCATGTACGCACGCACACACACACACACACAATGAAATCGAAGACATAGACACATGCATATTCCCACCAAGAGTTAGACTAAACAAATTGTCATCATTACATCATAGAAGTACAACAGAAAGTTGGTGGAGAGAATAAAAGGGGGCGAAGTATTTACTGGAGTTTTAAAAAAATAAAGGGGAATAGTCAGGGATTTTTTGTGCGGATTTCAACAGATTGTTTATGTTACTATGATATCCTTGACTAGACAATTTAACCAACACTTTCACACAGAGGCAAAGAAACAAAATTCCCACAAAACCAATACTTGAAAATTAATCTGATGTTCCATATTAGTTTGTTTATTAGATATATCACACAGTCACAGAAACAGTATTATTTACCAGATGACGTTTCGAACAAAGTTTATTACTGTTCATAATCATATCAATTGTAATCACAAGACTTTGGAACTTGAGTTTTATAGTTTAGTTTTATAGTCAAGAAGAGGAACTTCCAATGTTAGATTGGAAAGCAAAAAGAAAAGAAGATGGGAAGTTAAACACACTAGTGTGTTAACAGGATACCTACACATTCAAACAGATATTGGGACTTCCGATCATCCCATCCTATGTCAGTAAAAATAGGATTAGTGAAATATTTAAATGACACAGCACAAAAACTAAGTAGTACCAAAGAAAATCTAAGACAGGAAGTGAGACACATAAAAGAAGCCTTGAAACTTAATAATTACCCGGATAAATTAGTCAAGAAATATGTAAGTAAATGTAAAAATAAAATAAATAATAATAGCGATAGTGATAATAATAATACTGATAACAATAATAATGATAATAATAATAACAGGAATAATAACAATAGTGATAATAATAATATTAATGACGACACCAACAATAAGGAATCTAAATCGTCAACAGTAATTCCATACAAGGAAGGAACCTCAGAAACATTACGGCGGAGAATTCTTAACAAGGCAGGCAGGAATAAGAGTGGCTGGAATCCAGACTGCCCACAAACTCAATTAGAAACAAGCTTTGTCGGTTAAAGGATCAATCGTGTAGAGCCTTTAAAACAAAACAAAATATTTTATATAATACCCTATTGAAATGACTGTCAGGTCAAATACATACGTCGAAGCAGTAGAACAGGGGCAGTCAGACTAGCAAAAAAAACATAGCAAAATCTAGATTGGTTGACCCAAAATGAGATAAGAAATCTGGAGAATAGTTAGTTCAGCTATAGCACTCACTACATGCAGTTACACACAACCATACAATATGCTGGATGGGATAGGATGGCAGTTTTAAAATCTAGAGTCACAGGGTGGAGGGAGAGATTGATAACAACAGAAGCTTTATTCATCGAATCAACTGAAGAGAATACGTGTAATAGGAATGATTCAATACCTGTTCAGCCAAATATCTGTGAAGTTCTACTACCCCTGCGACAATTAGGAGAAGACAAAGAAAACTATTAAACTGAGGTTTCAAAGTCATGTGATTACAACTGATATGATTATGAACAATAAATTTTGTTCGGAACGTCATCCAGTAAATAATACTGTTTCAGTGAATGTGCGATACATCTAATAAACAAACCAATATGGAATTACTTACTACCACAATGCCCAAGTTTTACACACACATTAATAGTCTGTTGCTTCCTGGACACTGGCCCTATTCAGGCAGTGAACTGAAGCTCTAGTAAAAAGTCGTAACCAGTAATGGTACAGCAGGTTGAAGATGAGGGAGGCAGTAAGTCATCATCGAAGAAGACACTGTGAAACGGTCGCGCTATGTCGTGAATTGGCAGAAGTTACAATTCATAGACTGGCCATTGGATCGGATCCCGATGGCTCAATGGTCTACGAGGTCGCCTTGTAACCAGAAGGTCCTGGGTTCGAACCTTCGCAGTGAGGTGGGTGCTTGCTGCGGAAGCGCCCCAGCTGTCCATTACTCCTAGCTGGTTTTCCAGTGGTTCTTTAACTAATGTCAGCTGATGATGAAATCCTCAATCCAATCAAACAAAATCCCTATAAAACAGTATTTGAAAATAGATGATTTAACCAACACTTACATCCGGACGCATTAAACAATAAATTTTCATTCTGAAGTTCTAAATCCTCTATTTTGTTATGTTTATAGATTGAGAAATTTTATCACTGTTTTTCCTCAGAAGAGGCTGCGAAGCCAGGAATTCAAGTGAACGTACAAAAGACGCAGACGATGAAGATACTCACTGATCAACAACAATATAAGCAACAACCGAACATCATCAACAGCAGATATTTGAAGGAAGTTGCCTGTTTCACTAAAGAGACATTTTGGTAGCATCATTTCAACTACAGACGGTGACACAGATGAGATTGTCAGAGTCAGTCAGCATCAGGAAAGCAAGACAAGCAGGAACTTGTAAATCTGCATGGATAGTACCCAGCATAAAATAGTATATCAATATCATCATGCTTTCTCACTAATCGTGTGATTTATCTTGTAATGGAATTACCATGCTAGTCTGTCATTTCTCACGCATATTGTGATTTAGTGTATGAGATCAATTCATCGTCTTTTGTCTCACCTTGATCTTTGTCAAATCGCCGACCAATTAGATAGACGTCACCAGCCAATAAGAACAGTCCATTCTCACGGCTGTGAGACAACTTTATTAAGGTAAATTGTTATTATTATTATTGCTTCCTTTAGTTCCTAGAGGAACATAGGGCTTCTGCCGCACGTCTTTATTGCGTTCGGTTCTCCGCCTGCGTTTCCACATGGCTCCACGTCTGCCCACATGCTTTCATCTCCTCTTCACATGACCTCCTCCACTCCATGTCACCATCGCACTGACAACCAACTAACTCCACCGCCTCCCACTCGGATTCCACTCGAGCGATGGCCTGGCGTGTGATGTCACTTACTTGATGGTTTGTTTTCAAAGAATATGGTCAGTCCATTTCCATTTCTTCCAGCATGTTTGTTATACAATCAGTTCCTGCTGGGTTGGTACGTTTATCGCCAGAGATCCCTGTTACTGATCTTTCCTGGTCATCTAATCACGAATAGTAGTCAGCGAATACAGTTGTTGATGAATGTATGTAGTTTGTTCGAAGTGCCCTTCGCGACGCGGCACCAAGTCTCTGATCCGTAAGGTAAGCAGCATTGACTCTACATTAGAGTTAAAAATCCGCTTATGGTTTCTCACGCTGAGTGCTGTTGACCTCCACACAGACTTGGGAGTAGTGAAAGCTTGTCTTGCTTTTCCAATCCTCGCTTCTTTGATATACTCGTTAGTTCCATCCGCCTATAGTTGAAGCGATGCTTCCCAGGTAGGTAACGGAGGTTGCTTCTTTCAGAATTCCCCATTTATGCTGATTGTTGTCTGTTGTTGTTGTTGCTGTTGCGTTGGCCAGGCATCCTCATCATCTCTGTTTTCTCTTTCTTCACCCTAAGTACTTCCTACCTTGTTGCTTTTGACTAGCATATCTTCCAATTTGTGGAAAATCAGAAATATATCATCAGCGAAATCCAGGTCCTCCAAGTTTCTTGTGTTAGTCCATTTTATGTCTGTTTCCTCGCATTATCCAGTCTACTGTTCGTAATCAGGAAAATCATTTAGGATAGTAGACAGCCAGACAGCCTTGTCTTAATCCCATCTTCACTTTTTTGAAGGATTCAGTGAGTTTCCCGTTTTTGGATTACTTGGCATGCAGCATTGTCGTGCAACTGTCGGATGAGATGTCTAATTGTTGGCAGCACCCTGTGAGAGCGAAGTAGTTGCCAAAATCACCTCTCGATCGACGCTGTCTGTTGAAGGCCCTTTCAAAGTCAATGAAGTTGAAGTAGAGAGAAGTGTGACTTCCATTCCAAGTTCTTTTCAATGACGATATGTAATGTTACGATTTGATCGGTGTATGACGTATTACTCATAAATCCAGCCTATTCCAGTCGAAGTTATTCATCCAGGTAAGCGTGTTTGATTCTCTCCAGGATGATGCGGCTTCTCAACATTCTCAAACTTCATTGATCGACTGTTCTTCCTTACCGTGATATCTACGCCTAACCTGAATATTACTCACCATATTTATACCAATTAAAATGACGCAAAGAATCTAGACACTCATAGTCTAAGACAGCTGGCCTCTCCACGTCTTCCTCTTTCAACAGCTGTGTATCACAGCTACAAAGAAGGCAAGAGCAGACTGATGCTCACTACATATACATCCTTTTATCTATAGCCGGAACCACGTCTACGTCACAGGTCATATAAAGTGACCAGTACAATGCGAGATAAGATTTCGGTCTACAGTCAGTTGATTAGAACTAATACAACTTCCCGAGTAAGTGATGTGGTGAACATCATTTCACTCTGCATCTTTTAAATGAGAGTCAGACACAGGTTTCTTGTTTATTGGTACTCGTGTCAACTAATGATTCCCCGCCCCCCTTAGGTTCAATTGTGCTCCAATCATTTCTACAGTCAGAGACGTTATTACTACTCATATCAACCCTTGGTCAAACTTGTATTATATCCACCTGATATCTGCGATATGGTATACTTGGACTAACGATACTAAGACACAAGATTATTCATTGCTAAACCTCACCTATTAAACCTTCTACAGATGAACTTCTGATCCTTCTAATAGGTTTAAAAACCAAATAATCAAAAAAAGCTTTTCAGTAATCAAGAAATGTAATTTATTTTAGAAAAAATACTCTCCAAGAGACTAATGAATAAGGAAAATAAAATGATGATATGGTCGTTCTTTTTTCAATATTATTCCTATTATTAGCATTAGTACTGTTGGTATAGTTATCATCTTCAAAAGACAAAAATAAATCGGAATGTTAAGAATAAAAATATCTTTTTTTCATCAAATCAAGACTAAATTTTGTAAATCATAAAAAAGTATTCACCCATTTTCAATTTTTAGACGAAAGAAAAAAATCTTTTACCGATAAAGTCAATATACTACTTATATCTGTATTATCATATATCTTTTTTTCTTAATATTTTCCCTAGAAAAGCATTTCATAAAAGCATTGCATTATGAATGCATTTAATTTATATTGAAATATTGAATTAGTGTTTAAATTAAGCGCGGCATATAAAAAGCGGCCATAGTGATTACTAGGGAGAGAGAGAGGGAAATTTGAATTTTTTGTCATATATAAAATAATAAGCGATATAATTAATAAAAGAGTTAATAAATTTGCTTATTAAAATAAATAAATAAATTAATTATCTGTATGATCTTCTGAAATTTTTCTAGCAATAACAACTTCTACTTGAATTAAACGATGTTTAATCATTTCACGTAAATTATTTATATATCTCCAACGTATAGGTAATATTTTATAATATGGTGTATGCTCCCCACGAACATTAAATCGATATGTATGCAACTGGGGTCTAGCATAGATATGTACACCAGATTCAGGTACTTTCAGTTGAAGAAATACAAATGAAAATGCTTTACGTCCAATACCAGAACTATTTTCTTTAATTAACCTAAAAGTAATATCACCATACCAGTTAGAATTTGATATATATGGAGATACACGTGGAGAGATGATACGCTCATCATTCACGGATGTCTCAGATTGTTCTGTATGTGTAAATGTTTGATTTTGTGCTAGACCAAATGATCTTTGATAGGGATGATGTCGTGTAAACAGGCATGAAGAATGATTTCTACGTCTACGTATGGAGGATGATGAGGATGTTGATGATGACAATAGAGGTTGTTCTTCTTCCTGTTCCTGTTGTTGTTGTTGGTGTTGTTGGGATTGATGTGGAATATCTGTGTCCTCGTCCATTGAACATTCAGGATGTTCAATAGTATGATTCGTCGAAGGTAAATTTAAATCAAGGTGAATGGTAGACGGATCAGATCTATAGGCTGCATTCATATTCATATCAGTTGTAGAAGTTTGTTCTGGTAAAAATTTAATCAATGCTTCAATAGTCCATCTTGATTGATTCAAGTGGAAATAATCACTACGATATAATATATCTGTTTCTGTGATATTAATACTCGACAGTGTAATTGATGTCGTTTGTATTTCATGTGCTTCCAGGTGATGTAATACAGTGGAAAAACATTGGAATGTTTCACGCATTATCTGTTCTCTTGTTTGAAAACGATGTAATAAAGTGTCTAAATAATCACCGATAGGTTGTTCCAGTAGACGTTTACGTGTTACACATTCATTTTGATGTTTTTGTTGATATTGTTCAGCATTACCAATCCATTCACAACCAAATGGGGATAAACCACAAGCAACACTTCGTTTAGGACATAAATTTAATCGATGATTGATTAAAGACTTATGCAACATTGATGTTTTACAATCCAGACAGGTATCAGGTAATTCAGAGAGTACTTTTTGTGCTATCAGTGCACGTCGTGTATCTGAATACAGGCTGGCTCTACATGTTGGACATTGGGGTCTTTCATCTTGTCGTAAAGTTAAAAAACAATTTTGACATATTAAATGTCCATTCATACATTCTTTCATCAGTGTGTCACTTGCATAACATGCACAACAGGAGATCACTTCTCGGATAGCTTTGATAACATGCGTGTATTTCGGTGGATTTGAATCATCCGCAGTAGGAGTGGCAGTATTATAGTTATTCAGGGTGTTTAATAAATTTATATAAGATTCATCCGTTGTATATGATCCAACTGAGTGTTGTTGTTGGTGGTGCAATTGTTGCTGTTGTGTCGAGAATTCATTTGATTGATCGGATAAAATTGAATTATTCACTGGTGTATTACTGATATTTAATGATGATGAATTCGATTCATTTGAGTGTTGATGATGGTGATGCGAATCATGTGGATTATGAGATGAACGATGCGTTGAACGTCTGTCTTCATCTAATCGATGATGAGGTTGTTGTTGATGGTGGGGTAGCATACTTTCATCATTGTCATCCTCATCATGTTCATGTCTATGGTGAATTCGTGGATTCAATGAAGTTGTATTCGAAAATGATCGACGTATTCTACGCATAATGAATAGTGGGTGGGGGCGAAGACAAAATTCGGCGGTGAAGTAGTAATAAGTAGTTTAACAGTCAGAAATGTTTATAAATGTTAGTGTGTGAATGTGATGTAACAATTTAAAATTGTTAGAAAAATCAATACATTAAAAGGAAGGAAGGAAGGCCTTGTAATAATCGATTTATTCTAAAGGTCATATTTTGTATATGCGTATATATATTTATATTAATTATGACATAGTTTTGCCTGGAAATTTGTCTATCTGTCGAAAAATGAAATGTATTCATTAAGCTTTGGTTTTTAAAATTTTTAGTTTTATCCTGTGAAATTAACAGAGTTATAAGTGTGAAGTTAAAGAGAAAGAAAAATAGACGAAACTATCTGTAGAAATGTTTTTCATTCTGAAAAGGATTGAAAATTAGTTATCCCGTATTGGGCTGTGAGCTACAGACTTATTCTCTGTGTGTATTTGTGTGTGTGTGTGTGCGTGCGTGTGTGTGTGTGTGGGAATATTGATGAAATTATCCAGTTGTTTAACCAGGCTGAAGTATGTGGAATGAGATTCGAACCTGGGACCAACTGGTAATAATAATAATCATAATAATAATAATTTGCTTTATTCCAAAACAGTACTTGTGATACAGAATGGAATTCTCAGAATTTTACAACAGTATTGCATTCAATTAGTACATTAACAATAAATAAAATTCTACATAGATTAAGGAAATGTCAGTTCATTATGACAACAACATATTGGTACGTCGGGTTGGCGTAAGTCACTGGTCATCCCCATATACAAGAAGGGAGACAAGTCTTCGTGTGATAATCACAGAGGGATTAGCTCGACTAATTTAGTATCTAAATTCCTAGGCTCAATAATCATGCGTAGACTAAGTGGTGCTCGGGAGGCACAAACACGAGAGACCCAGGCAGGCTTTAGACGAGGAAGAGGGTATATTGATCATATCTTCACCCTTCGACAGATTCTAGAGCACAGGCATACCTACCGGTGTCCAACAATCATTACGTTTCTTAACCTGAAGGCGGCATTCCATTCTGTCGGCCGAGAGGTTCTCTGGCGATGCTTGGCTGTAAAGGAAATGCCGAGAAAATACACAGCACTGATCAAGGCACTCTACTCGAACTCATGCAGTCAGGTGAGGGCTTACGGCGAGTTGTCACCTGAAGTGTTGCCCTTCAAGGATACCCATTATCCCCATTTCTAATCACTTTCATCATAGATATACTAATGGACGTAACCCTAACTCACTTCAGAGACTCAGGGATTGACTTCCTACCAGGGAATAATCTTATTGACTTAGAATATGTAGACGATATAGTTCTTCTTTGCGTGAACGCTGACCAAATGCAGAGTCTTGTGAACGCCTTGAGCTGCAATCTACGAATGTTTGGCATGTGATTCGCTCCTGCTTTCAAATGTAACATGATGTTACAGGACTGGACTAGACCGCCTCCTAGTTTAGAAATAGGGAGTGAAGTGATGGAGCACGTTGACCGCTTCACTTATTTGGGAAGTACTATCAGCCAACGCCAAAGGGTTGATCTCTGACGAAATCTCAGCACGGATACAGTGGGCTAGTTTCGCATATACCAGTTTACACCGTCTCGGGCGTGGACGTGAATCCCGGCTATCGACCAAAGGGCGGGTGCACTGCTCAGCATTCCGCTCTGTCCTCGTCCTTTATGGCTGTGAGACCTGGCCATTGAGAGTGGAAGACATGAAAAGGCTGACTACCTATCTTTGATCGTAGGTGCCTGCGTTCTATCTCCCGTGTGAAGTGGTATAATAAAGTGAGCAATATTGAGGTTAGGCATCAAGTGCTAGGTGAGGAGGGGAAATCAATCGACGATGCTGTGAAGTTGCATGGATTGACTGGGGTGTTTAGGACATGTGTTACATATGCCTAGTCATCGCCTTCCTTGACAATGAGCAATGTTAGGTGACATAGAGTCAGGCTGGAAAAGAGCTAGCGGTGGTCAAACCAAAACACGGCACCAGTCAATGAAATCCACAACAGTTAGTTTAAGTCACGTAGGAAGGTGTAGACCTCCTGGTTGGGGTCCTCGGGATGGTGAAAACCAATGGGAGCTGGAGACAATTGGTGATATGACTCAAAATCGTTCTCAGTGATGGCTGGTTCAGATGCATCCACTCCTTGTGACTTATGATTTCCAATGAAACTACATAGTTGTTCGTTACTACTATTCCTTTGTCTCGCACCTGTGTTTTCTGTCTCTATTATGTATTTCTTCTACCTTCTTCTCTTGCTTTGTGTGCTACATCGAGGGAGTGTGGCGACTTGAACTGCCGCACATCGGTGCAAAGTTCTATGTTGAGAATAGATAGACAGACAGACAGACAGACAGAAAAACCAAAATTGAACAGAGTGTCTGGACGTTTTAGTAAAGTAGATGCTAGCGTATTTACTGGCGTAAGCGGTAACAAAAAGGTAGAGATATACAGAGTGTGAAAGAACGAAGAAGAATGTTGTAAAAAGAGTTTATAAGGAAGAGAGAAACAAAAAAGGAGAAAAGGAATAGAAAGAAAGAAAACGTTGTACCTATAAATGATATGAGTTAGAAAGACGAGATTCAATTGTTCTACTGACTATTTAATGATAAGTTATAAGTTTCACGCCTAATGCTTTCTTTATTGCACAGAACAGGAGCCAAGTAGGGTATGGTTGAGTTTTTGTACTTACTAGTGTGAGCATATAGTTTTCTATATAGGCTTCTGGTTTCGCCTGGCTGATGAGATACAAGGGGGGAGAGTTGTGAATGAAGAGGGTTGTGAGAGTTAGATAGAATGGTGGGGAGTTAAGTGATTGACTGTTGACATTTCAGCCTCCTGTATAGACGCTTTGATAATTTACGAGGATTAACTTGTTCGAAAAAAGAAAATTTTACATGAACCTGGATTTCAAGGAAGACATAGCCTGCGATATCCTGTAAAGAGAAGAACATTCTTCACAGCAACGCTCACAGTAGTGTTCTGCAGTTATCGATTGGTCTGCAAGAGTCTAGAGGACAAGATCTCTGACATAACCACTTCTGTGTGCATACATATGAGTTCACCTGCTGCTGTGAAGCCAGAGGTACGTCGGTCGTTCGAGGCGTACTCTCTCGAAAAGGATTCAAGAACACCATCTCACAGCATGGATGCCAAAAGGTACTAGTGGCTTTATAAGGAGTGCGATTGTCTAACGCCTTGTCAACATTAATCATTCCATCTCAACAAACGCCTCCTGCTTCAAAGTAATCTCCAGAGTCAAGAGTAACCTATCGAAGGTAATACGCTTTCGTCGCCGTTGTATTACTGAAGCGTAAGCCACTCATTTGGAAAAACCGGAATTGTGCATTCCATAGTAATTTTTTTATTGGATGGATGTATAACATAGAGTCAGTGAAACAGTATTATTATTTACTGGATGACAAAGTTTTGAACACAATTCATTTATTGTTCATAATCATATCACCAATGATAACCACACAACTTCGAAACTTGAGTTTTATAGTTTTTCTTATTCTTTCCTATTTGCCATTGTCGGGGTAGTAGAATTTTGGAGATGTCCTGATGGACAGGTTTGAATCACACTCCTATTACACGTGCTCTCTTCAGTTGATTCGATAAATAAATCTCCCATTATCAGTGTCTCCGTCCATCCTGTTTCATTGGATTTCAAAACTGTCATCTTATCCCATCCCATCCTATTGTATGGTTGGTTGTGTGTAATTGCAGTTAGTGAGTGCTATAGCTGAACTAACTATTCCCCAGATTTCCCATCTTATTCGGGTCAACTAATCTAGATTTTACTGCTAGATTTTTGTCCTCCCCTAGTCTGACTCGCTGAACGATACTGTTCTACTTCTCTGACCCATGTATTTGACCTGAAAATCATTCCAGCGGGTATTATATAAACCAAACTGTTTTGTTTAATTGGCTCCACAGTATCGACCCTTTAACTGACAAAGCTTGTTTCTAATTGAGTTTGTGGGCAGTTTAAATGCCAGCCACTTTTATTCCTGCCTTGTTAAGAATTCTGCGTAAGGTGGTTTCCGAGGTTCGTTGTATGGAATCACTGCTGATGACTAGGATTCCCTATTGTTGATGTTGTTATTATTCCGTGCATATTTGACATGCATATCGTCGTTAATGTTATTATTATCATCCCTATCACTACTACTATTATTATTATTATCATTTTAATTTTACATTTTCCTACATACTTTCTGATTAATTTATCAGGGTAATAATTTATGAGTTTCAAAGCTTCTCTTATATGTCTCACTTTCTGTCTTAGATTTTCCTTGGTACTACCTAGTTTTTGTCCCTTATTGTCACTTGAACATTCCGAAGTTGTGTGATTATAACCGGCGATATGATTATGAACAATAAATAAATTGTGTTCGAAACTTTGTCATTCAGTATATAATAATAATGTTTCATTCAACGAATGAATATATTAAAAATTCTAAAAACATAAGCAATAGCCTTACTTTTCGCTGGAATCGGGGAAGTGAAATGACGCAGGCTGGTGAAAGCCTTCGGGAAGCCAGTCAGCCGATGTGCCTTCTTTCGATGAAAGCAAAAGTAAGGATGGGTACCTGGAATGTTCGTACAATGTACGAAACTGGAAAGGCTGCCCAGATAGCCGCTGAAATGAGAAGGTACAGAATAGAAGTGTTGGGAATCTGCGAAAGCAGATGGAACGGAACTGGAAGGTGCCAACTACCTACTGGAGAGACAGTAATCTATTCCGGCCACCCAGAGGACAACCATGAGCACACCGAGGGAGTGGCCATCATGATGTCACCAACAGCAACCAAAGCTCTCATGCAGTGGGAACCAATCTCCTCCAGGATAATGACAGCCAGGTTCAACTCAAAAGGAAGGAAAGTTACAGTCATTCAATGTTATGCGCCTACAAACGTCTCAGAACAAGAGAAGAAGGAGGCGTTCTACAGACAACTACAAGCAATAATGGACAACGTCCCAAATGGCGATATCAAAATCCTGATGGGCGACATGAATGCGAAGCTGGGAGGAGACAACACAGGAAGAGAACTCACCATGGGTCGTGA